TATTAAAAACAGTGGATGATGCCAYKGGTYGCYGGTCACAGCATGCATCTAATTAACGTACTTCSCATGTGCCATTTCGGTCWCAGSTTCTATRTTCTATGTTTCTGAACCYGACAACGATTCTTCAATTGAGTGTATRCTSTAATTAATCATAATAAAGTTATAATTATGTCAACTTTAATTTTCTGTTTTCATATAATTATGCTATGCTTCATAACAGATCTTCAATCATATTGACTTAATTCTATTTCAGGTCGTATTCATGCCAAGCGTGCATCAGGACCAAAGCTGATATTCTATGATTTAAGAGGGGAAGGCACCAAGATTCAGGTGATGGCGGATGCCAGGTCTTCTGAACAGGATTTTGAAGACACACATGGCAAGATACGTAGGGGAGATATTATAGGTGTTGAAGGAAAACCAGGTGAGATTTGATCCTTGTTTTCATTCTACCAATAATACCAGCAACATAATGGAAACCAAAATCAGGGTTCGTGCTACTCCTTAAACTCCTTGAATTTTTGCTTTGATCATTACTTGCATGGTTCTGAAATAGATCTAGTCAGAAAGTCAACCATATGCAATCACYGTGTAAAACCTTGGCATAGTTAGCTGAACATACTCCTYGTAAATATATTTTTGGGTCCTTGTATACTCCTTGGATAGTCCTTGAATTTTAACTGGTTRCCTCAGCATGAACCCTGGAAACTCTGTACCTCACTGGGCAAGTGATCTAGCTGTTTTRGCAGCAATAACGATGCACTAATCAATGAGAGGTGAAAGCAACTGCTAGATTAATCACAGCCTCTTTGTATTCTGTAAAGATGGTTGTTTCATGCCCTAGCAACAACTCATGTTAGTTCAAAGAGAATTTTATCTACATTTGATCCAAGAGAATTTCTCAATCTTAAATAATTCAGAATCCTATTCTAAAGAGAATGACATGTGGTTGGAAATGGGAAATAAATGTATACCCAAGATAGGGAGGTCTATATAAAGTATATTTTAAAGTAATGCTTCTTATATTGGTATTTCAGGTAAAACCAAGAAAGGAGAACTAAGCATCTTGCCGTCCAAGGTCACACTTCTGGYGCCATGTCTTCATATGTTGCCTCATTTACACTTTGGTTTAAAGGATAAGGCAAGTAGTTAACTATTTATTTGCAGACTTTGTATGAGTGGTGACTTGTCAGAGTGTCTGCATACTGATAAATGGTTTCTTTTGTGGCAGGCAGGGATAGGGAGAGAAAGGGAGCATTATTGCTGGTTAATTCCATGTACACCATGCAATTGGCCTCCTACAGGCTATTCTCGACTTTCACATCSCCATAATCTTTTGTGTCTTTGGGGGGTAACCAGATGGTAAAAACGCACTTATTTTGCTAAAGGCTGATCAGACAATGATGAAAATATCTTGTTTGGTATCCAAAGATAAAATGAAGAAGTCAAAACATTTTAACAAAACATTTTGAACAAGACCAAAACTCTTGATGATCTGTACATGCAAAAATAACTTGGAATAAACTGATAATCAGTATTGTACAGATAAAAGCAGGTRTAATATAAATTCAATTAAGAAACCTTTCAATTTGGGACAGTTTTTTGAGTGGTTAACCAAAAACGCTAGGCATTATGGAAATGAGAAAGTCRAGAATATGACCTTGTCAAAATGCACCAAGACTCATAAAAATATCCAGTCTTATTATAAAAAGTTACAAGAAATAATCTCCATAATAAYATTATTATATCGATTCCTTCTTTTAGGAAACCCGATTTCGACAGAGATATTTGGATCTCATCCTCAACGAAAGAGTCAGGGACAAGTTTGTTGTCAGAGCCAGAATCATCAATTATGTTAGGAAGTTTCTGGATCAGCTTGGATTTTTAGAGGTAAGATTGTGGTACTATACCAATATTTTACACTTAGCATAGCTTTTGTGTCTTGCAGTCCCTTTGGRACATTTGTTATCAGGATTTCCCAATTTGTTCAAAATCAATGTCTTTATCATTATTATTTTAAAGGTTGAAACACCATTAATGAACATGATTCCTGGAGGTGCAACAGCCAAGCCATTTATAACACATCATAATGAACTCAACATGGATCTTTACATGAGAGTGGCTCCTGAACTTTACCATAAGGTAACTCTACTAACAATAATCATTGCTTCAGATTATAATAATATAGTTCTAGATACTGGATAGTTGTTAATGCGTATCCATGGACAGAATTTCAAGGGTGGGCCCAAGGGGCAGTCCCCCTTTTACAGTATTTTGGCTAGTCAGAGGTTTCCTGCAACGCTGCAGTTTTTGCCCCCCCCCCCCACCCATCCCCTCCCTTTCTCTGATTTCTGGATCTGTCCCTGGTATCTCTAATCAGACTCTGTAGCATGCTTAACTTGTATCTCCTATTAGCTGTTTCAGGGTTGCAGAACATGTTGCACCATAGGGCTGTTTGAAGGGATAACTTATTACTTTTATGCCGTCTTTTTTTGCTTGTGGATTGAGCGAAAATTGAATGAAAAGTAATAGGAAACTTTAATTGTTGCATTAATTTTCAATTTTATTTTGTTTCTTGATGTATAAAATGCCTGGTGAAGCCTCCCTCAAAAAATCTTCACAATGTAACACATTTCTACTACTCTTGTCTTACTCTTTGTTGCATTAATTTTCAATTTTATTTTGTTTCTTGATGTATAAAATGCCTGGTGAAGCCTCCCTCAAAAAATCTTCACAATGTAACACATTTCTACTACTCTGAAACAGCTAGTAGAGGGAGCACAGAGGGTTCAGAGGACAAGAAGATTATTTTGTTGCAGTATCAAACAATGATTTTTGTTTCACCATGTTTTAGATGCTCGTCGTGGGAGGAATTGATAGAGTTTATGAAATAGGACGGCAATTTAGAAATGAAGGTACGGACCTCTGTTATGATGTTGCGAATAGGAAGCTGGGGTAGCATGCATTCCTAAAGGCCGGTTTAGACGGTATGATTCCTGCAACTCGAGTCGTAGCGTGTAAATCACGAAACTGATCTCGCCTACGACAGACGTGAGCGTGTTGTATATGATAGTTGTAGGCGAAAACCATCTAAACCGGCCTTAACACACCCTTTCTTACTGTTATGGTCATTGGTCTTAATGGGTTTAATGATGGATTCACCACTGTAAAGTTGCTTCAAGTTAGTTGTCTTCTGTGTTTTGAGTGTCTTTCTTCATGTTGTTCGGTTCCCTCCCTCTGCAAAATCAGAGCTCATTAGAGTGCAAACCATATATCTGTGAAATGGTGTAAAAACTACACTGTAAATAGCACTGAAAACATAGCTATTTTTTTGTTTTCAGTCGTTTCATTGGTGCTATTTTGTACTATTAGTTTGTACTATTAGTTTGTACTATTTCTTTGTACTATTTTACAGATATATAGTTTGCACTCTAATAACATTTTAATGGTACAGAACAGCTACAACCAAATAGTAACTTTATGATAAACTGTAATTGTTTTAATTATTGTACCTCACTGGGCAAGTGATCTAGCTGTTTTGGCAGCAATAACGATGCACTAATCAATGAGAGGTGAAAACAACTGCTRGATTAATCACAGCCTTTTTGTATTCTGTAAAGAAGGTTGTTTCATGCTCTAGCAACAGCTTTTGTTAATTCAAAAAAGAAAATAAAAATTATTACTTTGATGTGAAAGAGGATTACTAGGTATTCAATCTAATTAGGTCTTTGCTTTATTCAAGATTTTTTAAACTCTTTTCCTCAATGAATGTTTATTACTATTACATGTACCTCACTTTTGTATTTATTCATCAATCAAGGGGATCAGAAAAGCATCCCTGAATATTTTCAAACTCTTTATCTACATTGATAACATTTCACCATGATTTAGTCAAGTGTTTATTGAACTAAACATTTTTATTGTAGGTATTGACTTGACTCATAATCCTGAATTCACAACCTGTGAGTTCTACATGGCCTATGCCGACTACAATGATCTGATGGATATTACAGAAAGCATGATATCAGGTAAGGAAATGCTGTACTCCTCTTTCTTTGTGTCAGGGATCAATCTGTGGGTAGCCCTCTCCTGACTTAGATCACCCCAGAGGTTGTTTCAGGGTTCAATCTGTGGGTAGCCCTCTCCTGACTTAGATCAGCCCAGAGGTTGTTTCAGGGTTCGATCTGTGASTTAACCATGCCCTGACTTAGATCAGCCCAGAGGTTGTTTCAGGGTTCTATCTGTGAGTTAGCCCTCTTCTGACTTAGATCAGCCCAGAGGTTGTTTCAGGGTTCGATCTGTGAGTTAGCCGTGCCCTGACTTAGATCAACCCAGAGGTTGTTTCAGGGTTCAATCTCTGGGTAGCCCTCTCCTGACTCAGATCAGTCCAAAGGTTGTTTCAGGGTTTGATTTCTAAGTTATCCATGTCCTGACTTTATTAGACAAATTAGTAGGTTTTTTCTAGGCTTCTGGTCCTCGTGGTCTATGAGTCAATAGCCCAATCGACCGTATTGAAATAAAGATTTAGTGAATCTTATTTTACTGTTTTATTTATATTTATTCATAACTATATCATTCATACGATATATTAATTAATGATTTTATCAGGTATGGTCAAGAATATCACCGGTGGATACAAAGTCACCTTCCATCCTGACGCRGTAGATGCAGATAATCTAGGAAAACCCTACACGGTAGATTTCACTCCTCCATTCAAGAGACTCAGTATGATCAGTGAGCTTGAGAAAGAACTGAAGGCTAAGTTGCCTCACCCGTCAGAGTTGGACACTCCAGGTATTTTGTTAATAAATAAAGTTATTCTTATTTTACAGGGTTAAAAATAATGGTTTGTCAGTCGCTGGTCATACTTATAAGCCAATGATTAATAGTCCACTTCTGAGACATTAAGTTAAGGCTGTTTGAGCGGGCAGTATTTTGTCAGTATTTCCCACGCTCAAAACGAAACAATTACATAAACGAGTAAAAAAAATATGGAAAAAAAGTTATTTACTGGCCTATAGTTGGTCTGGATAGGTAAAAACTGTGTCCTTGGTCTTGAAAATGGACCTTGGCCTAACAGCCTTGGTACCATATTTTGAAGACCTCGGGCACAGTTTTTCCCTATCTGGCCCTCCTGGCCAGTAAATAATATATATGTCTTTCTCATATGTCTTTCCATCTTAWATTTTAGAGGCCAATAAAATTTTAGATGATCTCTGTGTCAAACATGGTGTKGATTGTGCCCCACCTCGTACTGCAGCCAGGTTATTAGATAAGGTAATACTGATTTTTTTTTACTGTTCTACTAATTGAAATTTAGTGAGCAATCACTTTTAGGAGGGGGAGTGGGCCCTGGAATCCCTATCCCCTTTCTTCTGTCTGCATAAAAGTTAACCCCCCCCCCTTGAAATTTGTTAAATTCTTGACCCTCCCATTTATGTAATATGAAATACTTGATGAACCCCCCCCCCAGATTCCTCTGGCGCACCCCACCTCCAAAGAATGAATTCTTCCTTAGCTGAGGACAAAACAGTATATTTTTTTGTTCCCTGAGAGGTAAGAGTTATTTTTCATTTAGCTGCAGTACATTTTTAATTCTTGTTATTTCCTCCTTTAGCTTGTTGGTGAATATCTTGAAAAASAGTGTATAAATCCTACATTTATCATTGACCATCCAGAGTGTATGAGTCCCTTGTCTAAGTGGTGAGTATTTAGTTCATAGTAGCTTCCTTCAGTACAATATTCAAACCACTTTACAGTCACTCATTTAATGCAGGCAATTTAATAAACAAAAAGTCTTGTCATAAACTCAGAAGTGGCCTGTTTTTAGACAAGACCCTGGACGACATTGTCAAGGTTGTTAAAACAATGGAACAGAACTAAAAAAAAAATAAT